CCAATTGCTGCTTTGTACATTCTGTTGGCTTCTGACATAGAACTTCGCTGCAAATTTTTATCTTCAATTTCCTAAAGTATTTAGAGTCTAGTTTAAGTAAATTCCTTCTGATTAGATTGGCTAAAGTGCAGTAAAGTATAACTTTGAAGATAACTGATTACTAGTGATTAGGAGTAACTTCACTATGATCTATAAACTAATAGATCTTGCATCATTTTGAAAGAAACTTAATTATAAAAAAAGTAAGGAGCATTAGAAAAACCCTCAAGTTTGGCTATTTTTAAGATAACACCCTTAACTTTACAAATGTCATAATCCCGTTAAATTATATTTTGAAATAACTCCCCTAAACATTAAATGTATTACATAGCTCCTTAAGACTGGGGTGTATTAGCAAACCCAAACATTTTTATCTTTTTTCTTTTTTTTACTAACCCCCTTAACAATGTTAATCAACTGGTCAAATCACCAGAATACCTTTTTAAATTAACACTCTAATCATTAGATTAAATTATATTAATTAATCGATGACTATATTAATCAAAATATTAACCTTAACTTATGGGGTTTATGTGAGAATTATATTTAAATTTATTGAGGAAATGAAAGGGGTTTTTTTTCATCAGGGGAATTGTGATCATTTGAACTCACGTGATTTTCGTGTGCAAAATCTTATCTAACAATATTAGTTGGGGTGTTCTCCAACAAAACTTAAGGGGCTTGAGTGACATTTTAAAGTTTAGCGGAGTTATCTAAAAATCAGCCAAACTTAAGGGGGGTTTTATAACGTATTTAAAGTTATGGAGTGTTATCTCAAAAACAGACAAACTTGAGGGGTGTTGTGAAATTTAAACTTCTGTCTCTCGAGGACATTTTAAGTATTTGCCAATTGCAGACATGGATTCAGTGAGGCTTATGCGGCACAAAATCTGCGACAAGTGCGGGTTGGGGTTGGGGTTGGGGTTGGGGTTGGGTTGGGGGGGGGGGGGGGGGGGTGGGGGGGGGCTGGGGGGCGGAGGGAGGGGGGGGGGCTGGGGCGGGGGGGGGGGGGAGGGAGGGGGGGGGGCGCAGCAGGAGCAGGATTGGTGTGTGAGATAAAAAGAAGTTCAGAGAGGTACGTGCAAAAGCAGGAGCAGGTTGAATGGGTTTTGTGAAATTAACCTTTTTCGGAAGAGTTCCTTCCGAAGATTAAGTTCCGTAAGGGTGTGTTTGGATTTCAATGGGTTAAGAAAATTGGAAGATTGAAAAACTATTAAATATTTAGGGGCTATTTGGTTGCACACTTTTTGAGAAATTTTTTTTCAAAACATCTGACAATGGCAAATTTGTAATTAAAAGTTTTCCAGAGATTTCTGTAAATTGTGTTTGGTTCAACAAAAAATTTACAGAAATATTTTCTATAAAATATCAAAACCTACCAAATTTTACAAAAAACAATTTCCTCTCAAAATGAGAGGAAATCACCAGAAATCTGACACATACCATATTTAATTAAAAACCTACCAAATCTTGTTATTTTCTATAAAGTTATGAGCTATTTTCTTGTTTTGAACCAAATAAGCAAAATACAAAAAACAAGAAAATTGGTACTTTTTGGTTTCTCAAAACTTTTCCTATAATTTTTTTAAGAAATACACGGAAATCATATTTTAGGTGGAAAACATTTCCTATAATTTCTAGAAATTGAACCAAACCCCTTAGAGTAAAGATTCAATCAGAACACTCCGTAAAAAGGTAACCATTCATGATGGTTTAATGATTAGTTTCATAATTCTAACTATCCTATCAATTATGTAAATCACCCTAGTCTAGTCCTATAGGGTTGTTTTGATAGGATCCCTAAAGTCATTTGTGTAAAGATAAAAAAGGTAACTTGAAGCGCGTGGCATGAGCTGTACAAAATTCTTGACACTCTATGTATACAACTATATATGGTAAGTACGCCAATGCCAAAAGAATAAGCAAAAAAAATACCAGGAATATATGTACACGGTAAGTAGGCTACAATTATGGAGAAGAAGTTTTTAAGGAAAAAACAATTAGGAAACAAGTTGGTCGAAATCTAGCACGATTTCAATCAGCAGCCGGAATTTGAATCCCTAAATTAACTAGGAACTGCATTCAAAATCAAGCCCGATAAAAGTCTATTATGACTTCACACATAAAAAAAAAGCTCGAAACAGGATTCCAAATGCTACGTCCATTAGGATCCTTTGGCTTCATATAAACTTCATATATTAACCACCCAATCCAACAACACAAAACATATTTAGTTGACAAATAGCCGAAAAAGTTCAAAACCGAAATCCAGACCGCTCTTTGCCTTAAATCCAATGGAAGCACTCAGAAACATCGAAAACCAGCAGTCAACGTACGGTTGTAAGCGCTGCGGCGAAAAATTCAGTAGCGGGCGGGCACTCGGAGGGCACCAGAAGAAGCACAGAGTCGAGGATCAAGATGCAGCAGGAGCGAGGGTCGCGTTCAGTACGCGCAATGGACAACCGGTACTAATCAACTCGTCACAACAACAAATACAACAAGAAGACTTTGAAAACCTGCACCAAGAGGGTCCAAATGGCATCTGCCTCTTCTGCTTGAAACGGGCACCGCTGAAACTGCACTTTAATCATTCGAGGATCCTCGCGTCCGCAATCAAAAAGGCGAGAAAAGGAAAATTGGGGGTGAAACGGGGTGGTAGTCCTCCTGCAGAGAGGAGTTTAAACATTATGGCGAATGCTAGCAGCAGCACTATTAGTGCAGGGACTAAGAAGAAAAGGGCAGTTTCAGTTGTTGAAGCAGAAAGCGGTGGCAAAAAGGAGGTTGATTTAACTTTGAGATTATGGCCGG